ATTAGCTATAACACAACATTTTTTTGAGCTCTGCCTGTCGCGTTCTCCTGCACTGCAGCAACAGCTTTAGCACTTCTTGGTGAAAGGAAAAACTATCGTTAGAAAAGCATTTTGTCGTGTTACCTTCTCACACTCCCACCTACAAACCCATTGGGAAGCAGAAGCACTTGCCTACCTCCGAGGCATCTTTTCATGTGCCAAGAGCCAGCAGTGAAGGGTTCGGAGCAGCAAACACACCTTTTCCAGTTGTTAAAAAGTTGGTCAGCTGAGCAGTGACCTTGCTCAGAAAGCAAATACAAGTTTAAAACAAGAAGCACAAAAGAGGGATTAATTTTCTAATCCAGCAGCCCATCGCTCTTGTATGACCTTTCCGAGGACAGTTCAAGCCCGCTGTATAAAATGAGTTACTTTCCATGGCATAGATAACTTTTCCATGAACCTCAAAACACTAAGCGCAGCTTGGGCTGTCACCGGGCTGCCTCCCTTACCAGGAAAGATTATTGAAAAGATAGTCAATTATTAACGCTACGGTTCCCATTATACCTGATGCTGCAGGCTGCAGCTGGAGCTCACCCTCTGCATGCTGCACCCTCCCAGGCTGAACGCATTAGTTATTCTGCTGAGCGCCTCTCCCAAGGAAACGCAAGCAGCTGCCACGGTTAAAAGGCGGCATCTTTAGTTCAAGCCGCAGAAGGTCTCAACGTCTGTAATTCATCCTGCCGAAGCCCCGTTCCCACATGCGGGAGCAGAAAAAGCCCCTCAGCTCTTTACCCTTCTCCCTGCAGCTCCAGCCCCTCACGTTGCTCCCATCCATCCGTCGTCCCCAGGAGATGCTGAACAGGACAGGGTGATGGTGGGAACGCAGCTGCGCGTAACCGCGGTGAAGGCGGAGGATGCCTGACCCACCCTGCCGCGCTGTGCCCCGGCAGCTGCGAGGAGGGACTGGCAGTCCCTGGGCTCTCGTGGGTGCTGGTGGGACTCTCCAAATAAAACGCTCCAGCCTTTTGCAGCAGGGTTATCAATGCAAACTTCAAATTGCAGGCAGGCAAGGCAAGGGGCAGCTCGAAGAGCAGACACGGTGTGATTTTGGGCAGGGTATTCGTGGCATGCGGCTCAGTGATGGGCTGAGCGCCCATCCCAAGCCCCTGCACTGGCGTTCCTGTCAGGCATCCTGGATTGCTGCACCCCCAGGCTGGCAACAGGGGAAAAACCCCTCAGTCTCTGCACTGAACTTGCAATAACTTCGTGCTTGCAAAGGCGGAGGGGTTCAGACACTGCCTGGCTCCCTGCAGCCCCGCAGCCCGGCTGTGAACCTCTTCCGGAGCCAGGAAAGAAAATCCTGAAAAGCAGAGGCATCCCACCGGGACCCGGGGGCTCTGTCGAGGACTTTCACCAGGGACTTGCATCACGGAGCAGCGCCAGCACCTTTCCCATCACTTAACAAGCAGCACAACCAAAATGCTCATGCTAGCAGGAAAAAACACATTTCGTTACCCTCTGCCTGCAGACCAGAGCTGCTGGCACTCCTGCAGGCTCACTGCGCTCGTGCAACTACTAAATGCAACTTTGACAGATGAAGTTTGAAGAAAAGCAGAAAAGTTTGGCCTTTGCAGAAAGCAAAATAGCCTAGACACGTACAGAAACGGCAGCAGTTTGTCCTTGCTAGCGCTCCCCAAGGCACGAATGGGTTAACTTCTTAACCAAGGAATGAAAAATAACCCTCCTCATTTCAGCAGCCGGTTAAATGCTGCCTTTCCCAAATTCCGCCTTTCCCACGCGGCTCCAGCATCCCACACCACACAGGGCCATGACTCCATGTTGACAGGCTTCTGCTTTCACAGGCAATTATTGTGCTTGGGGTTCAAACCAGATTTAAGAGCACATTGGCTTATTTTCTGTCAAATTCTTCTGGTTTAGTTACGCTTGTGCATCTTTTCTGAGTGCATTCTGTTGCTTATGTTCTCTAGACAAAGCAGCACAATATACATTTTTCTTTATGGCGCTGGTTTTAAAGTAAGCCTAGAAGAATTGTTTCGTTTTCCCACTGGAAAGACCTAGCAGGAAGCTTTTATTTGGAGCATTTCCTTATTGCGATTATACACATAAGACCTACAGTTTTTTCCCAGATGTAATCCCCGTGGGCCTGAAGAAGGTCAAGTCTGTGCCCCCCCTAAATAAGTTTTTAATCAGGAACTATGAATGGATGGAGTCAAAACATGCAAATTAATTAAATATGGGCTGGTGCATGATGGAGCTACCACCTGTTTCTGATAGCTTTGCCCAACGGGGCCAGCACAGGGTAGGAAATGGGGAAGGGTTTCACCTGGGCATAGCCCGAGACCGTCCCACAAGCGTGAGGACTGAGGTCATGGCCTAAAATTG